TGCAGACGAGTGAGGTCTGGGCCCAGCAGCACCTCAGCCGTGCCTCCCTCTCCTGGGTCTCACAGCTAATGACGCAGAGTATCCACCAGGGAAATGCCACATCGGTCCTCCTGGCCTTGGCACAGCCTGGCCCTTGACACATTCAAGTCCAGAAATTTCACCCCCATTTCTCTGGAGACCAACAATGTTCCACAAATGTCTGTAGCTACAACTTGTTTCCCCTCCTGCGCTGTCTGTTCCCTCTTGTTCCAGGAGCGCCTCTGATGCTCCAGGGTCACACTCTTTAGAGATCACACTCTTGCTTCTGAAGCCACGACAGCCTGGCCCCTCTTTGCCTTAGCCCCAGCACATACTTCTCTAATTTCAGGAAAACCCCCAGTGCCCTGACTTGCCCACTTCCTTCCATTTTCCATCAACGCCATCTTTTGTATTTTCCTGTCCCTGGGCACAAGCTCAGATTGTAGTCCTGTTTCCCTTCACTTAGGCGGGGCCTAACAACTGAGTGAATATCCATGGGATCGAAGTGAAAGTGACATGTGCTTGCTGGGCTGGTCTTTGACAACCTCCCTCCCTCACGCTTCTTTCTCTTTCCCACCTGCTGGAAGAACGGAGAGAACTCCAAAGCCCCCGAATGACCACGTGAAGCAGGGCTGCCTCCGCTCAATGGCCTTCACGGATTGTTAGGGCAGGTTGAGTTAAACTGATGTTATAGTAAGCAACTAAAATTCGGGACTTGTTTGTTACTTGGCTAACCTGTCCTTACTAATATATCAATCAAAGCCATGCATATTAGATTACACAATATGTTATTTCAACCTGTCTCTCTTCAAAACTTTAACTCATCTGTTCTCTTGGCCTTACATGCTGCCTCGCTGAAAACTGGTATCAGTTTCAATTGATAACCAACTCAGGATATCAATTTCTTGGTCTGCTTCCTCCACTTCATGCTGCCTTCCAGCTATAGGGTAGAACGATTTGCAAGACCAAGAGGACTGATGCTAACTCAGTCCCCAACACTGCACGGGACCTTCTACCAGCTGATCTACTGGAGCACTTCCCCCATGTTTCTTTAGCTTCTGGAAACTAATACTACTGGACCGTTTCCTCTGTGAAATGTTCTCTCTCTTCCCTTGGCATTCATTCTAGTATTCTCCCACCTCTCTCATCACTTCCTAGACTCATTTCAGTTTCTTATCTTCCAAAGTCTTCTTTCTCCATCATCCTTTAAATTCCAGACTTCTTTCTATATGTTCATCCTCTGGCAGTGACTTCATCTACTCCCACGGCTTCAGCCACCGTGTGTACAGTGACAACTGTGAAATGCCCATCTCCAGCCTAGACAAGTCTTGAACTTCAAACTCTACTGATGTCATCAATGGGCACAAAAAATAGAACTGAAAGCTGAAGTGACTACCTTTTTCTCCCATTGTCCCTGGAATCTGCTCCTTTCTCACCTGTACTCCCAACAGTGGATCCTGTAGCCACGGACTGAGAGGATGATTTAACACTCCCAAAGCTTTTGCAATTCTTTCCACCTACTGAGTGGATGTTGTATCGGTTCCTCCTCCTGCATACCTCCTGCTATAGACATTTGTATTTTCCTACCTGAATTACTTCAAAAACCCCGTCACCAATATCCATATCTCTAGTTTTACTCCTCCAGACCATTCCATACGTCTGATGCACAGATCTTTCTAACATACAAGTCAGATGACATCCCTTCTCTATTGGAAATCCTTCACTGGCTCCCTTCCCCCTTTGGAATCGGTTCTGTCTCTTTGGAACTCTAGACACTTTTGTACAAGTTCCCACTGGACATTTTTACTTCAATCTCCCACAGTGAATCATATTCAACAAATACGCTCCTGAGGCCGAACCTGGATTTTTCATGATGTTCCTGTTTCCAAAAAGAGCACCACCACCTCACCGGTGCCTACATCAGACAGTGGGACGTTCCACAGACATCTCCCCAAAACGCAGCTCGTGGCAAATCCTTTGGACTCTTCCTCCTTAAATCTCGCAAACTCATCAGCTTCTCCTCAAATCCAGCGGAACGAGCCTGGCACAGCTCCCCATCACCTCCTGACTAGTCTTCTTTTTCTAGCCTTGTCCTGCCTTCCGATATTTCTCTACACTAGAGGCAGGATGAGCTTTCTAAAATGTTCATACAACTGTGTCTAAAACCTTATGACAATGTTCCACTTCTTTCAACATCATACAAATATCTTTCATGGCGTTTAGGGAGGTTAGTAAGATGAAAAACAGTAATAGCAAGACATTGGGGCAGGGGGGTGACTTCGGGTCCAACGGTCAGGGCCAGCGTCTCGCAGAAGTTGCGCTGCAGCGTGAACGGCAGGGCCAGAAGGAGCCAGCCTGGAAGACGGAGGCAGCCATCAGCCCGCTTCCTCACAGTGTCCGCGCGGGGCTGCGAGCTCCCTGAGGGCAGGGCTGCAGTTTGCTCATCCCTGCTCCAAGCCCCTTCTACAGGTTCTGGCCCCCATCGGTGTTGAATACATGTTTGATGAGTGAAGGGATGAGTGAAGTTTAAGCTTAAATTTAAATTTTTGATCGGTCCAACCTGACGCTAATGGTGTGCTCACATATTTTTGTACATTTGCCCACATCAACTTGTAAAACTTCTAAGGAAATTTCTAGGCAGATAAAAGCGAGCAGGATTTAGAGTTCAAAGAGTTTTGCTTTCTTTAAATCCTCCTAACATATTTCAGGACAGACCCTGCAGGGCAATCTCTTACAACCAGGAGCCTTAAAAGGATATTAGAATGGATGGACCACTTGCTAGGATCCTGCAGGATCTTCGGGCCACCAACCATGAAAGCCAGCGTCAGCCGGCAGGCTGGGCTCCATGGCTCCCCGGCCCTGAGCCTCTTGACTGGCAGAGCTGCTTTCAAACAAACCCAAATCAACATCAGAAAGTCAGATTCATAAAGGAAGTGGTTTCAAGTCATTACGGTTCACTTCCGCTGAGGAGGAAAAAACAATAAAGGGTTCCTTAAACTATACTGTATTGCACTTAATTGTGGTATTTGACTCCAGAAAAATAAGGTGTCTGGGTTTATAATCCATCACTTGTAGATTAAAAAGGTTTTTGTAAAATAAATTTGGCAGTGAAATCTGACTTGCCAAGAAAGTATTTATATCTTTCATTGACTCTATCTGGTGTAACTACTCATTTGTTTCACTACAGAAAAAAAAAAATATGTTTAATTATGGGGTGCTGCCTTGGATCCCACAGAAATATCGAGTATTTTCTGATATATGCAATGTATTGTTTTTCTAAAATTCAAAAAAATTCTGACCTTCAAGGCACAACTAGACCCAAGGGGTTAGGATAAAGTATCTGTATCCTATTATAACACTCACCCAATTCTATTATCTTTGGACTTATAAAACTTTCATATGTGTGGGCTTTGAAGTACTCAGCAAAAGTCAAGTCACAAAAACACATTAGCATGATTTGAGCATTTGGAAGTAATATAATTGAAAACTGGTTCGGAGTTTCCTTTCAGATCTGATATAAAGTATGCATTTATGCCGTTGTATTATTGCTTTTCCAATAAGGATACACTTCCATGAGCTAGAGATGCTTCTGACCATGAGGAAAGTTTCATAGGCAAATCCTTTACATAAAGGGTCCCCCGGCACGGGGGCGGCAGAGGGCACTGGTGCGTGGCCTGTCAGGACTGAGCCGCACAGCAGGAGGCGAGCACGCGTCAGCCCCTGAAGCTCGGTTCCCATTTCCACCCGGGCTCCGCCTCCCGTCCCTCCACGCCCCGCCCCCCCCACGCCCCGCCCCTCCCTGTCGGGAGAAAGGTTGGGAACCGCTGCTCATCAACACGCCCAGCCTCAATTTGGACACTGCAATCTTCTGAGTAATTTGCCAGAGCTTCTGATTTTCCAAAGGGTTTCACTGTTCGCATTTCACAACTTTTATTCTTTTCTTACACTCTGTGTTTTCTCCTGAAAGTTTCAGAAGCAGAACCTCCCTGGTGGGAGTGAGGTGTCTGTTTGCCAGGCACATCCAGATGTGCTCAGGGCCCAGCTGCAAACCTCACCGTGTGCATCACTCCAGGCCCTCACAGTCACCGTGCAGGGAGACTTCCTACGCATCCCATCACACAGCGGAGCCAATTCAGGCTCAATCTGCCCAAGGCCATGCGGCTGCTCAGCGACAGATCAGGAGTTAAGCTAAAGGGTGTCTACCTCCAAAGCCTGTTTTATCCCAAACAACAAGGGGCAAATAACTAGCCAGCACTCCAATCTCATTCTCAACTCATGCACAGTTGGAAGGAAGACTTTAAGACTGCTTCATCCATGGTAGAAATGATGGTGTAATCATTTTTCACAAAAAAAAAAAAATGACTATGGTAGAAATTTGACAGTACCTTTCTTTATACTTGCATGAAATGAAGATAGGGCATCTGGTTTTACAAGATTCAACTGTAAAGCCATGTAAAATTGCAATAAATGTAATTTTGTTTTTGTTTTATTACTTTAAAAGTAAATACACATAATTGGAATTGGGAAGGCTTATCAACAAATACAACAAATCAGATGTTCAATATTCACCCACCTTTTGGAAGCGTCATCAACATTTATTAGAAATAGTATCATACAAGGGCTTACACCATATAACAACAGAGCATAAAAGGACAGAGGTGGAGATCATTAATGATTTTAATTATTTTAAGGCCCATTAAAATTAGAGAAATATCAAAGCACCCACAATGTTAAGGGTTTATTACTACAGCATTTTAGAGTTTACTAGTTCATACCTTTCAATCACAGCAAGTTATTAGCAGTGAAGGGATGAACCCTCTTAGGAGGATTTTTATTTCAATGATAGGGTGTTACGGACAAGACAACCTAAGTTTAAAAAAATTAGTAGCAAGCGCTAGTTGAGTTAATCAGTTAAAGACGAACTGTGCCGTGGGAAGCTAAATGAAAAAGCAACAGTAAAGCTTACAGAACTTAGCTCGTACAATTTGCCTTGAAGGCGGAAGATTGGTTCCCTGAAATAGCAAAGAATTATATGTTTTAGTTCAGAAAAAAAAAGTTTTTAAAATAAAGTCTGTTATTACCTCTTCTCCTTTCAAAACAATGGAAAAAAATCTAGAGCAGAGGTTTCAATTTGTTCAATAACTGTACCTCTGAATTAAAAAAGAACTAGAAAGTCATCATTGTTTTGACTTGAAAAGAAATAACAATGCAAATATTCATTATCACATAAAACATAAACCAAACAGCAGACTGTCAGAGTTAATGCAATCTCTGTAGAGCGCTATTAGTCAGAGACAGCGGGTCAGCCCAATACACAAACGCTCAAAAGATCAGCTCTTCCGAGGAATTAACATCTTTATTACCCAACAGGAATTTGGTGTGGCAGCCACGAATGCAAGAGCTGCCTCCCCTGTGAGCTGTCCCTTCACTGTTACCAAGCTGTGCAAACGTGTGAACTAGTCAGCGGCATCAGAAAGCTCATGCAACTTACCATATTTCAACCTCACACTGACTCACAGATTTGATGTTAAATCAAATTTACTGGCAATGTAAGCAAGCAAAATAGGATGCCAAGGAGTCAGATTTGAAAAGCAGAGCAAACAGCAGGGAAGTTATTTAAAATAAATCAATAGGGTTAACTGCATAATAGAGCAAAAAAAAAAAAAATACAATTTGCTCTAAAAACTTTAAAAGCCAAATCAAAACAAAACTGAAAGCTGCATTTCCAACAAAATTTGCGCATGATTAATTTGCATTTTAAAAAAAAACAGTCAATCAAGCTCGTGGGGGCATGCATGCACTGATTCTCTCAGCAGTTCCTACCTGATTTCCAATTGTGTTTTTCTTGTGAGCCTGACTGCTCCTCTGCTGAGCACTGAGGAAAGCAAAGGAGAGCGGCGCTGAGGAAACTGGTTAGGCTTTTCCTGAACAAGTAACAGACTCTAAAGTACATACAGGCTTTCAAAATACATCAATGGCTGAGGCAGAGCCCCTGTCCAAAACCCAGGCCAGTTGGTTCTGGAAGCAAAACCAACTCAGGGGATCTCCTAGTCCCAGTGAACAGCCACCAACCAAAAATAGAGGAACACCGCAGGGAGAAAGGTTGCATTGCTGCATGGGTGACAACACGAGCCAAATGCCAGTATTTGGGGACGTTCTGCAGGTTTACAGGATAGTTGTGCTGAAAATGAACAGTCAGCAGTTACTACGTATATGCCATGTTCCAAGTGCTTTACAGATATTGGTGATTCTAATTACTTTTAACCCTGGGAAGTAGTTACCACTATTCTTTTCATTTTACAGACCGGGAGCCTGAGCCTCAGAGAAGCTGGATGGACTTCCCAAAGTTACTTAGCTAATCAGCGGTGGTCCCACATAGCCTGCCTCCAGCTCCCCAGCTCTCTGTGACGCTGCCCAGCCTCCCTGCTTTGACTTCCACTCTGTGCCGAAAACTCCCACAGGGCCATGCCAGCTTGGACCCACCTCCCCATCTCTAGACTTGCATATGTTTCTGACAACTCAGCATCTCCCCCCGGGTGTCCCAGTGGGCCCTCAAGCTCCGTGTGCTACCACCGAACGCCCCCCGCAGCCTTCCCCTTCTTAATTCCGCATTCCCAAGTGCTCGAGCCCAAATCCTGGATTCCCCTTTCTCTTACACTCTGTATCTGGCCATCAGCAAATGTTACTGATGCTACTCCTTAAAATGTATTTAAAATTCAACATCTCTTCGCCCCTTTCATTGCTGCTACCTTGGTCCATGCCACCGTGATCTCTCACATCACTCTTGCAACCGCTTCCTCTTTGGCCTCTGCTTTCACACCTAATGCCTGTTCTCAACACAGAAATCAGAGGGATCCTTAACAGGGGGCCCGGCCAGTCTTCTACTCAAACTCTCTACTGCCACGCAACACCATGCCTCTCGGTTAAAGTCCAAGTCCTTCAGCGGTCCACAAGGCCCCCCTCGGCGGACCCCACCCTCTGCTACGCTCCGTGCCGTTCATGGGAGAGGTCCAGGCACACTGATCTCCTTTTCGTTTTTTGGACCCACCCGGCACACTTCCAGCTCAAAGCCTTTGTGCTGGCTGCTCCCTCTGCCTAGCCTGCGCTTCCGCCACGTACGGCGAGCATGGCCCCTCGCGTCACCTCCTTCACGTCTCTGCTCCAGTCCGTCTTTTCAGTGAGACCTGGCACGACCACTCTGTTCAAAGCTGCACCCGCCCTTCTTCCAGGACTGTCCTCCCCCTTACCCTGTTCTCATTTTCTCTATGGCACTTTTGCCTTCAAACATATGATACGGTTTGCTGATTGTGTGTGTGTGTGTGTGTGTTTATCGTCCATCTCCCTCTGTAAGCTCCTAGTGAGCAGCGGTTTTGTCTGTTCTGTCCACTGTTATGTCCCCAGTGCCTAGAAACTACCTGGTACACACCGTACTTGGAGTCAACAAATACCTGTTGAGTAGAAAGCCCAAATGAGGTCGACACCGTTATAACATGGAGCACAGGGGCCAAGAGCCAGAGGCGACCCCCGCAGTGTGGCCTCTGAGCCCACGTGTCCAGGCGCTATGTTGCTCTAGCTCTCACGAGAACGGAGGCTCGCTTTTGGCGAATGCATAGGTAAACGTCTGTCGACGTAAGCAAACGCAGCTCATTTTGGTTATCCCGGGAAGACTAGCAATACTGAACCCCCCTAACTGGCAGTTTCATAGTTTAGAAAAGCTGTTCTGAAGATCGATGAAATAGTTTAAAAGTAGAGAAAAAGGTAAAGTGATGAATCAACTGTTTCAAGTGATGAGATATTGCGGTTAAGTGTGCCTTCGCTCACACGCGTGGAAACCCACATTTGACCCTCAGATGAGGGTGGGAGAGGGCTGCCTGGTGAAAGGTGGCACTGTATTTGGTGACTAAAGATAATTTGTGTGGATTTTTGTTTTTCAATTTGCTCATTTTAGAGTTTTAGCACATTTCATCTCCCTTCATTTTCTGTTATTTGTTTCTAGTTCAATGCTTATGTCCCTTAATCACTGTGAACGTCATCTCTCTCCAGCCATCTCTGCACATGATCCAGATCTACACTCCTCGGGTTTGTGATGAGGCTGTGCGTGAGGTCAGGCTCGGGTGCGTCTGTGCCCAGGGCTCTGATGCGCCCACGCTGCCCTCTGGCTGCCCACCCGGCCCTGCGCGAGGAGGGTGTCCACAGCCCCAGTCCGCCTGGGGCCTCAGAACTGTCCCACGATGCCCATCTCCCGGGCGCCGCGGGCTCTCCTCTCTTCCTGGAAGAAGCGGGAAAACCACTAACACACAATACAATATAATGTGATTATGCTTTCTTCCTGGGTACGGTCACCCCTTCCAAGTACCATAATTGTGTTTAGAGGTCTGGGAGTTGTTTTCTTTTTTAAGGGAAAATGTCTTAAAATACATTACTGACCCGTGATGATAATTCCAAACTATGACAGACCCAAACTATTGGGGAACCTTGAATTCTGTGGAGGTCCCCTTAAAATCACATAAGAGGAAAGGAGCTGAGTGTAAAGCAGAGGATGCAGAGATTCTCGATGGCTCCCGGAGCTACCTGGGGCAGAGTCCCACCTAACTGCACCTGAGCTTCTGTGCTGCAAAGCGGGGGAAGGTGCGAGTGTGTGTGTGTGTGAGTGCGTGTGTGTAAAAAGACAGAGGGACAGAGACAAGAGGTCAGGGACCAGGCAAGCTGGCTGCTAGGTTCCTTTTAGATCCAAGATGCCTTGCGATGCGGGTTCTCCCGGAAACATATGAACTGCACTAGGTAAGAGACTTTCCACCGACAGGGTTTTCGTTGCTACATAATGCAAGTGTAGGACCTACCACTTATGAATATGCAGAAGGAAAACAGGTGTGTTTTATAGCCGACCTCAAATACTAGTGTTAGAACAAATACTAAAGTACCTTTATTTCCCATCTAAAGAATACTCTTTTTGCAGTAACTAGCCCCAGAAATCCAAAGATATTTTCAAGGACGTATTTAGGTACTCAAAGTTACTCCACAAGAAACATCATAAAAAATAAGCTGCCTCATTAGAAAACACCCGTTCTCATAATTCTTATGTATGCAATGATAACTGCACTGAAACCATTTCAAAATGCCTATTTAAATATGTGTTCATGGGAAATCCGATGAGGTCTCGCAAGTGAATTGGGGCCTTTGGACATGATCTCGGTCATAGGTACTGAACCGCTCATCTCTGCCATACTGTACAATTGGCCCATGTGCGATGTTTCCACTTGACATAAGTTAAAAGAGTGAGGGCACAGCCATCTGCAAGGCGCCCTGTGGAAGACAGAACCGTGAATAAGGTATGCTCCTTGGAATCAGAAGCCTACAATTTATCTAGTGTGGGTGGGGTGGTGCATACACAAAGCACAAATAACAAAGAAAGAATGCGCTCTAGAAGAACAAATATGTGAGGATGTAATACAAAGCCCCCCAAAAGTGCTTCTGTTTCAAATGTGAGATGTGGTTACCCCATAGCTTATTATGTGTGTACGTCTGCTGTTAATCATATAAATTACTACTATTAGTGAGTCACTGTGGAAGGCTTTCCAGAACACTAAAACACCTAAAACCAAACTAGGTTTATTAGTTTAATGTTCTGAGACATAACGATTTTAGAAGTATATAACAAAAAGTTCAAATTTTTGTAAAAATAAACGCATATTAGCAGGCATTTGAAGGGAAAAAAACCCTGTGTTACCACTTAGCTCAGGGTTTTTAGTTTTGTTTTGTTTTTTCTGCATATTCATTTTTGTCCTTGTCCATGTGTACATGCAATACAAGATTCAAAACACAGAGGAGAGCGAACCAAGGGGGTGTGTGGCAAACAAATCCTATGCATAGTAATTGCTCTGAATGTTCAGAGACCAACAAAAAGGGATTATTTTGGCCTGATGTGACGTGAGACTTTTCACAGAAAACTTGAAGAAAGGTAAAATTTTAATAGGGGAAGGCAACCACGTGCATTCCCAGAGAATGGTGCAGTATCGGCGTAGCCAGGAGATCAAAAAATGAGGCATGTAGGAAAATTGTGGAAAGTAAAACTATTACAGCAAAATTATATAATCACAGACTCGGGCTTGTAAACGACCTTACAAGCCATCTTGTACAATAACTGTATGTTAGGGCCAATTATGGAGAACTTGGCTGTTACAGGAGAAGCAGCAAAAACTATTGAAAGTTTCTGAGCCAGCAAATGGCACGATCAAAGTGATGTTTTAGCAAAAATTACCTCCCTGACTCTGAAGCAGGGAAGACAAGGGGCAGGCAGCCGAGACCCCTCCTTCTGACGGCTGGAGCCCTGCCCGGGCTTCCCAGGCCAATCAAGTGCCATTCCTGGATCATGCCTTCCTAGAAGCCTCCCATTACCTCCCTTTCCCATGAACTCCCAAAGGTCTAGGTCTGCACCTGCATCACACGAACAGGATGGTGCCAGGCAGGCCTCTCGCTGCCCTCTGACAACGTCTGTCCCTTGATGGCCGAAGGCAGGTTGCGTGAATCTTGGCGTCTCTGCCTCTCTCACCACAGACATTACCTAGCACGGTGCAGGCAGAGGAGGTCGGCAGAAGACAGCTCCTTCAGAGCCTTGGAAACCACGCTACTGAGTTTAGACTGTATTCTCAAAGTCACAGGGGACCCCAGAAGGAGAAACAAGGGAGATGACAAGAGGCAGGGAGACTTGCAGTGACCCCAGCAAGAGTAACTTGAGGGTGCCAATGACCTGCAGGGCTCTCCACAAAAGACACAAATGATGATGGGGTTAGACAGGTTCAATTCTGTAGCAGAGGCAGAATCGATGGCCTTAGTAAAGACGGAGGGAAACGAATATGGGAACACGGGTTGCTCGTT